ATTAATTTTTAACAGAAAACTGAATCTGGGGAGTCCACCATGACTTTGAACTGTTAGCTTCACAAAGATGTGTTAAAAACACCCCAACACCCTAAGAGTAAAGAATTTGGCATGGCATGGTATTGCACTTTTCCCATAGTGTAAAGGAAACAGCATATTCATATGCAGCACAAAACCAGTCTTGGCTATATTCTTATTAGAAATATAACTATGTAAAAACAGAATTTACCTTGAAAAGGTCCCACATTATATGCCACAGTTCAGATAATAATGGTATTGGATTATCAGCTCTAAGATAAAATCCTTAATTCACAATCAAATGCATGAAGCACAGTTTTTCTTAGAACTGCTTATTCAGAGAGAAATTCAGAGACTGAAAACTCACAGGAATTTGGGTGCAATTTTGAGTGCAATTTTCTAAAGCAGCTTTTCCAGGAAAGTCTGGACCTAAAATCCAATGGTACTGGCTGCCTTACTGTTTTTACAGTGATCTTCCAGCACCAGGTGCAGAGTAAGATTGGAAAGCATGTCTGTAATCTCCTGAGCACAATTTTGAACTGCCAGGCACAGTTCTGAGTAAATGAGAGGTAAAATCGTGCTTTCCTGCAAATGCCATATGATTCAAGATTTCATGTACTTTGTGTCCAAAAGCTCCCAGCATAAAACAAAGGAAAATATTAGTAATTTTTTTTCCTCAGAATACATTCTGTTAAATGTATTTTTCAGATACATTTGCAAGTGATGCCACTGGACATTGCTGTACAGAGCGGTGCACAAATAGGATTCAGCAACTGCTCCCTTCCTGCTCTGTGCAGATAACACTAGATTTCATACATGTGGCAGCTCCTATCATTTTCTGTCCAAATCTGGGGGAGGGAAGGATACAGAAGATAGGAGGAAGCAATATTTTATATTGCTATCTGGCAAACTTCTCAGAAACATTGAAGAAATGTTGTTAACACAATTCTGAAAGAAACTGCTGTTCAGCTGAGAGGAAACATGATGCCCAAAGAACCTCTTGGGGAGGAGTGGGTGAAGGTGTGCAGATATGACTTCTGAAGATGAAGAATACAGTACTTCTCTTTTAGATTCATAAACCAAATAAATTTTATTTTGAGGCTTTGAAAACGTGAAAAATCTCTACTCCCTCTTAAAACAAGAAGTGTGTATCAGGTGGCTAAGGTAAACATGATAATTAAAAGGAATAAAAAATAGTTGGAATGTTTTTGTAATTTCTTCCTAGTCATTGTTAGGCTTTCCTGATTAATGCAGTTAGAAATCTTGAACTAAAAGCATTTAGTGTGGAACTGATGTTATCATGCACACTACATTGTTAGGCTTTCAACCAAGAAAAAAAAAAATCACTTCTTACTTTATAAAACACCTTTGAAAAAAAAGACCTAGGACAATATAATCTCTGTATGCCTCCTGCAAAGATTTCCCAAAAACATGTATTTGATAGCCTGCTCTATTTGCGAAGTTGTTGCCACTAGTGATAATTGTTGCTGAAAATGCCTCCAGAGCTGAGGTAAATGCCTCAGGGTCACCTCACTCACCCAGGTACAGCTAGGGGCACAGGCTCCCAGCAGGAACAAATGCAAGGTGCACCAACTCAAGGAGCTCCAGAGGACAGTAACTTATAAACACAAAACGTAGTTCTTCCACCAGATGGTTTTCAGTTTGAAGGTTATTTGAAGAACACTGTTTCTTTATCATTCCCCACCAAGTTTGCATAAGTCAAAACATACAAGGTCACTGACTTCCTGTGAGCTTGAAGCTACAGGCAGGCTTTGCTGAACAGAGAACATATTCAGCAAATGTTCTCCGTATCTCTTCTCAGAGTCCATCTTTAGTTTTAAAAATCTGCATAGCAGTATTGGCAGGAGCTTTTCATTTGATGAGGCTCTGCAGACAATCACTTCTTTGTGAACTCTGAGTTACTAGGAACCACTGCAGACCACCTAGCTGCAAAAATACACACCTAGTAAAAATCTGTAGAGAGAAGTCACTTATGTGCAGGGTAAGGCATTTTCTTCTGTTACTGTTTGTTTTTTTCTGAGGTGGAGATATTTATAATAGCATACATTGGGGCTTTAGTACAAAGTGAATAATTAGTCAACTGTGTTTGAAAGCTGATAAGCTTGGCACAGAGCACTATACTTCAAAACTACCAAATGCTTAGATATGTAAACAACCCCACTGAAGCCACTGAGATTTCTTTTATGTCTAATGTTAAGCAAACATCCAGTCCTAATTAACTAGGACACAGCTTGGTAGCAGAAAAGTAACTAATTTTGGAAGTTTGAGAAATTTTGGGTGGTTTCATTAGCAATTTGTGTGTATCTGGCTCTCTGTATTAAGAAATAATAAAGCTTACTGCTAAGAGATATGTTTACTCGCAATCCAAAGGGATTCCTGAGAATATCTTCATTGAGACAATAATTAACAGCAATTAATTGCAAACAGTATTGGAAAGATCCCATTTAAAATATTTTTTTTTCTCAGGATGTTCTCTCGAATGAAAGAAACAGTAATCTTTCCTTCATCCCTCAAATTTGTCAAGTAAGACTTATTTTCAAGAACACCTCACAGTGGAAAACTGTGAAGTGGAGGCTTTAAGCACACAGAGAGGCTGAACAAATCATGACTGTGTTCTTCATTCCCCAGATGGCAAGCAGAGCTCTGCTAAAGCACACTGGGTAGCAGCTGCATATTAAACTTTTCTGGCAGCTGTGCTGACCACAGGTAAAAAATGACACAGACTCAAGCTTATGCTGAAGCCACAAGTTTATCATATTTCACATAGCAAAGCAGCATCTGGAGAAAGGATAGAGGGTGCTTCACAGTTCTATCAGCTGGGGATCCCTAAAGGATACAGTGCTGGGTCTCTGGGTTTCATACCTCTCCCCTTTTTATAAGATGTTCACCAAAGGGCTGGATCAAAATATGCCATGTTGGAAAGATTGTTGCTGAGAAAGTGGAAGAACAGGGTGTCTTAGTACAGAAATGAAGTTACCTTCAGTGAGTTTTGCTTGTAAGGTATATGAGATGCCAGTCTATTGATGGACCACATGGCAAAACTGATGTTAAATACAATAGCTCATCTTTAAGGTGGTTTCCTACAATGCCACTTATGAGCCACACAGAAAGGTTTCACTTTAGGTACTGCTGTTACAGAGAGTAGGAAGTTGGAAATGTTGTATTTAATTGAATTCTGGAAAAGCTAAAACATAAGCAAATGAGTTTGAAAACTTCTGAAGTTAAGCAGTTCAATCACTCAAAAAGTGGTGGCAAATGAACAGCCAGCTTCCTCTTATTTCCTCATCCTCACTTTCCATGGAAACTATTTCACAGGTCCAACTAGGAAAATGTTTTCCAATGTAAAAAACTCTTTTAATAAAGCTCTCACTGTGAAACTATACCAATAGCAGAAAAAAAGCTTGTAATTCTATGGGCAAGGAAATATAGATGTAGACATCTATGCAGTTTCCCTACAGCTCACCTGCCTCCCAGGGCTCTCCCCGGCGTCCCTGGTGATTACACTGTGTATTTCCTTCCACAGAAAGGAAGTCTCCTGATTCCAGGCCAACCACTATAAATGGGGGTGCAGCTAAAGAAGCTGCACTTTTTGGATGATGCAGTACCTTGCATGATCACTGCTACAGTATTTTCAAATTCCCTTTGATTTAGCCTCCCACCTCATCTCTCCTGCAGGCTGGAAGTCAAGTGAGGTCGTAGGTATTTTTTATGAGATGGTCATAGAGTGCCCAACAGGAACGCTGCCGACCTTGAGCAGCTATCTCCTTGGTGCTTTTTGCTGCTGCTAACTGCTGCACACCAAGGCCCGGCCGAAACAGGTCAGGCACGACGTACACCGCCCTGGCAGCCGTGGATGGAGCCTAGCCGAGGGAAAAATTGCCTTCCTTGCTTTGAAATTTCCGTTCAAAGGCATCCGAGGGGCACACACCGCTTTCCTGAGGGCTCTCTCCCCCACGCGAACGAGAATTTGAAGCCGAACTGACTACAAATCAAAGCCCTTGAGGGCATGGGGGGTGGGCGAGGTCGGTCCGTCCGCCCGCCCCCATCGCCCCCGGGACCGGCCGGGGCGGCTCCCCCGGGATCGGCGCGGCGCGGCGGGTGCCTCCCTCCCCCGGCGCTGACGGAAGGGCTGCGGGCAAACAGCCCCGCCAGTGGCCCGGGTGCCGAGCCGAGCCGGCGGAAAGAGCGGCCGAGGCGCGGGCATCGCGGCGCGGCCACATCAGCCTCGGCCTGCCCAGCGCCGGCGCTTGGCTGCTGAGCCGCACAGCGGCCCCCAGGCGGCGGCGGCGGCGGCCGGGGACGCTGAGGAGGAGCCGCCTGCGCGGCCCAGCGGCGGCGGGCGGGCCGGACACACCGACCGAGCGGCCGAGCGGGCGAGCAGCCGCGGCACGGAGCGAGGGAGGGAGCGCAGAGCGGCAGCGCAGCCCGCGCCGGCAGCGCCATGGCCACCAAGGTGAGCAGCTCCGCGGTCGGGGCGCCCTCTGCGCCGGCGGGCCCGGCTGGGCGGGCGGGGGTCCCGGCTGGGCGGGCGGGCTGCGTGCCGGGGCGGGGGCCGGTCCTTCCCGCACCGTGCCCGGCCGCGGGACGGACGGGGGAGCGCCGCGCTCGGGCCTTGCTCGGGGCTCGGCGGAGCAGCGGCGACTCCGGGACGGGGGAAAGTTTGCTTTTCTGCCGTGTTTGTGGCCCCTCCGCCCCCACTCCTCGGCGGAATGATCGTAGTGTCCAAGAGCCGCCGGAGGCCGAGGGTGCTGCTCCTGCAGCCCGGGCGCCCCTTGCCCCGCTGCCGCCGAGCCGGGAGCGGCGGGCGCTGGGAGAGGCCTCGGCCACCGGCGGGCCCCGCGGTCCCGGCCCGCTCGGCCCCCGCCGCCCCGGCGCGTCAGGGCAGCTGATGCTGACCCCCTCGGTCCGGGGCCGGCTGTGCCGTGACTGCGGTGGGAGCCCAGAGTCCGCGCTGCGCGGTCTCTTAATAGTAAGCTGTGATTTTACACGCCAAAAAAAAAAAAAAAAAAAAAAAAAAGACAGGAAGTTAAATTTTGTTCAGTCCTTCAACAGTATCTGCTGCTAATGCAACTGTCAAAATTAGCCCATCCTATCTGAAAGCGTCCTCTTTCTAAATCAACAGTATTTGTTTACTATACTGGTTGATGAAAGCATCTCTACTTGTGTAGGTGTGAGTTAACATGCACCAGCAACTCATCTGTGACTTGTCTAAGTATCTCAGGAAGACCTTTTTGGTATTTGAAGTATTACTTTGAGTCACCTGATTCCATTAGCTTGGCCAGCAGTTTTAAAAACTTCCTTTTACTGAGGCAGTTCTCATACAGTGCACTATTTATGTTGCTCTTCTCAGTGCTGAAGAAATTCCGCATCTTGAATGTGTCAGATTTAATGTATAAGTAGCTGTCTCTGTAGCCATGTAAACTGATGGTGGCTCATGTTTGGATAAACTTTTTCCGAAGCACCGAGAACTTGATTTTAGGTTTCAAAATCACTTAGGCAGTTTTAAAATACAATGAATATGGTCAATATAGTGAAATTTATGTTTCTGTTGAGCTTTTAGAATATTGTTGATAGACTTGGTTTATACATTGGTGGGTTCCAGTAATTCATGAGATGTGTGTATGAATATTTTTCACTCAATCTAATGACTGTAGATGGCAAGAAAATTACTTCTGGTGTGTATATACTACATAATGCACAGTATGTTAGGCAGATACTGTATTAAACCAGTGTACTGTTTTTGAGCTCACTTTGAGGTGCAGTGTCCTCATGGGATCTGTGTTCTCTGCCGAACATATGATCCATTTTATTCATACATTTGGAAACTGTCGCTTTGCTTTTCGTTAAATATTTTTTGGAAACATTATGGCCCCAGACGGAAGGGCGTATAATTTCTGACTTCCTTCAAATCTTAATCTAATCCAGACTGGTTTAAAATCAGGTGGTGCAATTTTTTTCATTCTACACATTGCAAGTTATGGTAATGTACTTTGACTTAAAGGCTAAAATGATAAGTGATAGTCAGGAAAGAGTTGGTATTTTATTGCTATTATTTTATTATGCTGGTAACTCTGAGTAGTACTGAAGAGAAGCTTACTTTATTTTCTGTGAGCTCTACTCAGGAGATGGGTCCCTCTCTGCAAACTGCCCTATTTTGGATTTTATTTCATTCACGTTGTGCAAACATCACCAATAGTAAAGGATATATTTTTTTTGAGCAGTGTGAGGGAGTAACTGGCTGAAAAAACAGTGTTTAGGAGCTCAACCAACTACTCAGTTGGCTCAGTCACCATTTCATTTGGAAAGTAAATTTTGTTTTTTAAATTGTAAACAAATTTCTCACTGTCTGTTTGTGCTCCTTCACAAATTGCCTCTTTTGAAAGAAATATTCAAGGTGTATTTGTATTTTATGTGAAATGTTAACAAAAATTAAACTGTAGTTTTCTGGAGTATGAATTTTTGAACTTTAATGGTGTCAAATACTGTATAGCTGCTAAGGGCGACTGACAGTCTGGCCTGGCCTGTGCTGCACGGGCTGTTAGTGCTTCCTGAATTGATTCCTGTTTAAACTAGAATATACTTTCCAAGGAAAGCTGGGGGTAAATTCAGTCTTGATTTTAATGCTTTCAGTGATAGAAAATCCAGTCTGTGTTTTTTGTTGTTGTTTTTAAATAATCTCTCTTGCTGTTGATGCTTCTTTCTTTTGAATCTGAACTTGCCCAGCATCTGTTTCCAGATTTATCATTTTCTCTACAAGATTTACTTGAATCAAGATTTGCTTGAATCAAGGCGTTAGATTTTGTGAGGATGGAAGATGCAGATAGGGGTTTCTTCCATAGCTAGCTTGTAATCCTTGGCCAGCTTGATAAACCACAGCAATTAAATTCCTAGAGTTTTCATGTATGAAAATGTGGTATACCATTGTGTAATGTGCTGACTCTTTTCTGTACCATTCAAAATCAATGCATTTCTTTTTGAAGCAAGAAAAGCTTTTAGGGGAAAGGACTACTATTTTCATACCAAGAAGCCCTTACTGATGCTTTCCTAGCATATTTGTTAGCTGGCAACTTGGCAGGGAGTCTTTTGTCCAAACAGTTGGGGTGGCTGTAGGCCTTAAGCACTCTGAGGGCTGTGGAGGCTGTGTCTGATGTTGTGAGCTAAATTAGCAGTGGCCATTGCTCCTTGTCCCTTCTTGCTCCTCATCCCATGCTGTATGAATATCCCAGGAGTCTACTCCAAACACTTGTCAGGCCTGTTTTCAAGATACAATAAGTTGCTGAAATAGCAAAAATATTCACTGAATGGAAACAGTGGCGCCATTTCTTCAGTTCTGGGTAGTTGCAGTAGTTGAAAGTTTGCTCAGAGCTGACACAGAAGGTTGTGTGGGGTGGTATGGTTGGGAACAGGAGACTTTTATGGAGAAGGGTGAAAATATAAAAGGGAAATGGAAGAGCTGAGGCTTCTAGAGGCAATTCTTCTGTTGGCTAGATCCTTACTGTAGCTTGGCACTGGACTTCGTGGTTTGCTCAAGGTTATGTGCTCTAAAAACTGAAACAAATGTTAAATCCTATCAAAATAAGGAAAAAAAAAAGGTTATTTTGGGAGACTTTTAGAGTTGCATAGTCATTTAACTGAACCCAGCTTCAGAGGGTAAAGCAATTTCACAGTTAAGAACTGGTGATTTAAGTTAGATACTTTTATTTTGGATGCTTCCTTCTGAAACAGAGTTAACCTTACTAATTCCTTATTTCTAATTGTGTCACAAATGATGTCAGAAAGTGCCTGAGCCTAAAAAATTTTGAAAACTTGATCAGTTGCTCAAACTTGAAAGGAAGATGCAGTTTGGTAAATGTTTCTGTCATAGTTGCATACAAAAGCCACGGATGAGATTGTCATTCTTCTGTTTGTTCCTTGTCACAGGGACATTTCTCTCTGTGCAACTCTATGAAAAATCATGAGAGAGAGAGAAATGTCCCTGTGACGGTTCCTTCGTAGTTTCTTTGGCCTTTCCTATTCTTTCCCCACTAGAGTTTGCCAAGTCCCAGCTTTACTCATGTCCTTTCTTTTGTTTTTGAGTTTCATTGAATAGGGAGAGTTAGAAATGTCAGGAAGCAATATGCTGGCTTTTAAACAACATTCTCCCTACCTTAGCCTATTTTTAAACTTATTTATTATTTTAAAATGTAGGCAAGTCCTTTTCTTGAAAAGACTGATGTTTTGCCATTTGTTAAGCCCTGATTTCAGAAGGAAGTGAGATAGGCTGTGGGCAAGACAGTTCTTCCAGTTCTTCTGGAACCTGTGCTGCTAACGTGTAGTGACAGTTTTAATTTAGAAGTTGAAACTAGGAGCTGATTTATTGGTGTAACATTGTTCATGTTGGTGACATTGCTTTCCCAAGAGAGGTTTTTCATAAGGCAGTTGTTGATAAGCTTTGTGAAGTTAGGCCCCTCTTACTGTCAATACCAAAATGTTTTTTTCTTTATAACTTTAGGGGCACTTATATCCCACCATTATGTTCTTGATTGTTCAGTGGTTTGTGTACTTTGAGGGCACATTTATCTGGTTCTGTTTTCAGGACTGGGCCTTTTTTTGTGGGAGGAAGTCCTTTAAGATAAAAGCTACTGAATATTCTGTTCTTTAAAGAAGATACAACTTAACAGTACTTCTAAAACAAGGAAATGCTTCAAGGCTTTCTTGTTCATCTCATCATGTGGGATTTTCTCTTAAAATGTCACTGGCCAGGTATAGTTGAATTCAGCATGGTTCTTGTAATTGTGGCAAGGTAAGGTCATGATTTACATACAAAAATTTCAGGTAGGGAAAGGTAACAGCACATCAGACTTAAAGATTACAATCCTTAAGTGTATGTCCTTCCTCTCTTCTTTCTTTTTCATTCTCTATTACTCTCAGCAGTATAAGGCTTCCCGAAGAAGTCCCACATTTTCCTTTATACTATCACTTGAGTTGGTTAGAAACAATTCTTTGTTCTGATTCGCAGCTGGGAAGTGAAGCACCCCTCTGTGCTAAACACTCCAAAATACCCAGACTTTGTGTTCTGTTAATCTACATTTTGCATTGTCCTAACTTTGGAAGTAGACTCCTTTCGTAAATCTCATCTTAAGGGAAGATTCAGTTAATAAATCTTAATACATCTGTGAGTTGGGATGATCCTCTTCTGTGCAGATCACGTCATAATCCATTCAACATGTTCCATTATTTAAATTCAGCAAAACAAGGCATAATACAAAACATGAGATCACAGATGATCTGTGTATGTAGGTTGTGATGGAACAAAATTACTAGGTGAAGTAATGATTTTGATTTTACAGTCTAATGATGTGAAATGTTGTTTGGGTCTTTTAGGCTAGTATTAAGTAGATGTGGGGATACTTCCTGGGGCTTTTTAGATTATTTTGGTTTGGTGGTTTGTTTTTTAAGGTGCAGTAAGATGAC